GTGTGTGTGTGTGTGTGTGTATGTGTGTGTGTGTTCACACCTGTTAGCATCTCACTGCCCTGGGATAGTCTGTGGGTTTTCCTCTCCTTCCCCAGGTGAGGCTGTGAAGTGAGAAATCATTTCTCGTCACCCCAGTCGCCCTGGCCCCTATGCAAGTGCCTGGCAGGGAGCAGTCGCTCCCCAATATGCTCTAAGTAAGGGGAGACGTCTTCAACAGCCCTTAGTGTTTCTAACCGCTGCTCCTGCTGCCAGGGGGAGACACTGGAGCAGTGGTTCTCAACCTTCTGGCCCTTTAAATACAGTTCCTCATCTTGTGACCCAACCATAAAATTATTTTTGTTCCTACTTCATAACTGTAATGTTGCTACTGTTATGAATCGTAATGTAAATATCTGATATGCAGGATGGTCTTAGGCGACCCCTGTGAAAGGGTCGTTCGACCACCAAAGGGGTCGCGACCCACAGGTTCAGAACCGCTGCACTGGAGCGTGACAGCAAAGGTAAGATTCGGGCGCTGAGGGCAGGAAAGGCAGGGGCCTGTGAAATGTGAATCTGTTCGGGAGGGCTGAGCGCTGGGCAACGGTGACTCGAGCTAAAAGGGCCGAGCAGACGGCTGTTCTGTTCACGTGAATCAGCTCCGGAGAGAGGGGGCCTCTAGCTCCCAGCGGAGGCAGTGGTGGGTTAGTAACCACAGCTCACAGGACGCTACGGGGGACCCAGAGGCTGCGGGGGAGTTCCAGTGGGGGCAGCAGTTCCGAAAAGTCACCTCCCTCAGATTCCAAGTGGGGAAGAAGGTTCCTTTAAAATGGCCAGTGGAACCATAGTCTAGGAAAAGGTGATACATCCTATTTTGTTAGCCCCAAACTCTAGGTAATAACGAAAAGGACATCATTAACGACGAGGAAAACTACCGTCCACTGAGCGCCCGTGACGTCATTGTTGCATTTATCCTTGACCACAGCTCACACCTTCCACCAGAGGGAGCTCCCAGGGAGGTGAGGAGGTGCCCCAGGACCCGCAGGCACTGAGCTGAGTGACACCTGCCCCGATTGATCCTTTGTCCGCCACAAGCTCTATAGACGCAAATTCAAATATCGTGGCGTGTGGGGATGGTTTCCGTTTTGGACGCGTGGCAGTTAATGGTTAAATGAAGGTTTCATTTCTGGGAGAGACAGAATATAAAAAAGAGCCCTTAAAAACAAGGAGAAACGGAGAAGTATTAACATTAGATGGGACAGGAAAATCCACTGAAATATTAAGGGAAAAGTATTCAAAATGTTCAGAATTTGAAATGTCCCAGAAGCTGGGCTCTAATCCAGGCCCTGGAGAGTGGGATGCAGGGAGAGATGAGAACCTCAGGCCCAGCGCAGGCTGGACACGCTGTACTGCCCGTCGGCGTGGGCTCGGGGAGCCTGGGCCTCAGCGTGGTCAGGAGAAGGGATCGTATCCGACTCCGCTCTCCACGAGTGACTGAGGTGTGTGAAACAATAGATGTAAACATGCAACTGAAATGTGAAACTCCTACTTCGAATGGTAATTAGATTTTAATGAAGTTAAATGTTCTTAAAGGTATGAAGTGGAAAAGGATGTTTCTTTAAACCCAGGACATTTTAGCTTGGCCGGCGTGGCTTAGTGGTTGAGCCAGGAGGTCCCGGTTCAATTCCTGGTCAGGTCACAGGCCCGGGTTGCGGGCTCGATCCCCAGTGGGGGACCTGCAGGAGGCAGTTGATCAATGATTCTTTCTCATCATTGACGTTTCTATCTCTCTCTCCCTCTCCTTTCCTCTCTGAAATCAATAAGAATATATATTAAAAAATCTTTAACTGACTTAAGTGCTAGAGGACCACATTCTTAGACACTAAATAATTCACGCTGTTCTAAAACTTTTAGTGAAATCCAAGTTCTTTGTATGGAAACTAATACAGTAATTAATACACGATAATATAAGAATGAACTCTGTTTTGAGTACGCACAACTGTAGACCTACTTTTGCCCCAGCCTGTACTTCTGTTCCCTCAGATGTTCTGGGTCTGACCTGGAGACATAAACTTGAGAGAAAGACGGACTTCGGGATGCGAAAGGGGG